CATGTTTTTAAGGCCTTAATGATAAACTCTGCTCTCCTAAGCTTGATGTTCTGGCTTTGCAATGACACTGGGCTACAGCTGCCCTTCAGGCTTCCTGGAAACCTGATCAGAGAACAACTTCCATGATTGAACTTTGTTTCCTGCAGGAATGAGGAAACTCCTGTTTAACTGCACACTCGCTGTGCCGAGCAGAGATTCAATAGGCCTGTTTCTCAGACTGACGGAGGATGGCACACCAGAGCATGCAGCTTCTTCTGGCGTGAACTGACCTTTCTGGTTCCTTATCTGCAGACGGCAGCAGAACAGATGTCATTGTCAGGATAATGCAACTGTTATGTTTATCCTTTTTTCATAAGCAGGGCGGCCCTTCGGCTTTTTGTTCTGCGTGTCGTCATCAGTTTAGTCCCGACTCGCTCTGTGGATCATCGTGTTATGTAACAGCAGCACAGGACGGCTGAGATGGGTTTGCCGCATTGTTTACTTGGCTGTTGTGTGTCTGTGGTTGTGTGCTGCGGTAAAAATAGCTACGCTCGCTTCCTTTTCCACAGCTGGGTGAGTGTGTAATGTTGTCGCAGGGGAGAATCAGGACAAAGACACAGGGAGAAGGAAGCATCCGCCTAATCTGGAGTTTAATTTAACGAAGACCAAACACACAAACAAAGGATCTTTGACTGTGTTTCTCTCTCCTCTGCTTCTTGCCTCCGTTTGCCCTTTTCACCAAATGATCCCACCAAGTTGTGTGTCCATCCGTGCACCATTTAAACTGCTGGTACCCAAAGAAAACCATTATGTAAATTCATGGGCCAACTTCATATGCAGAAGTTCACATAAAGAAACTTGAATAACTGAATATAATCAAAACTTTCATCTTTTAGTAGATGACTGCTGATTAAAATGTTCTAGTTCATCAGAGACATCAGCACACTGACTGTTCCTCAGATTAACTGGTGAAACACATTTCGTTTCCATCGTGTTTTTCCCAGTTTGAGGTTTGATTGGAGCTCCTTTTAATTACTTCATCCTCTTGTGCCGTTTCCATCAACATTCAGAGCTTTTACTCTGAGAGAACAGCAGCCTTTCCTACTATATTTGTTGAGTATGTCAGTTCAAAACCAAGGGCGTTAATGTGCTGCTGTAACAGCCTCCTCTCTGGTGGATTCAAGCTTTCTACCAGATGCTGAACCCGTTGCAGGGGTTTGCTCCCATTCAGCCACAAGATCACCGGTGAGGTCCGACTGTGATGGTGGTGAGCTGGATGGGGCTGAAGCTGGGGATCGGTGCAGACCAGTCTTTTTGGGAAGTCATTCAAAACAATTTCTTCACGTAGCTGCTGTTTATGTACAGTGGCATGTTTTGTTTAAAATATCTTGTAGCTTTAAAGCCAAAGTACAGAAACATACAGTGCCTTCCAAAAGTTTTCATACCCCTTGAACTGTTCCACATTTTATCATGTTACAACCACAAACCTAAATGTATTTTATTGGGATTTTATGTGATAGACCAACACAAAGTATTGCATAATTGTGAAGTGGAAGGAAGATGATACATGGTGTTCAAGATTTTTTACAAATAAAAATCTGAAAAGTGTGACGTGCATGTGTTCAGCCCCCTTGAGTCAATACTTTGACGAAGCACCTTTCGCTGCAATTACAGCTGCAAGTCTTTTGGGGTATGTCTCTACCAGCTTTGCACGTCTAGAGATGACAATTTTTGCCCATTGTTTTTTGCAAAGTAGCCCCAGTTCAGTCAGATTGGATGGAGAGCGACCAACCTCCGCCCCTGTCCCAAGTCTTTTGCAGCCTCTAACAGGTTTTCTTGCCCTGTTTTTAGCTCCATCCATCTTCCCATCAACTCTGACCAGCTTCCCTGTCCCTGCTGAAGAAAAGCATCCCCACAACATGATGCTGCCACCACCATGTTTCACTGTGGGGATGGTGTGTTCAGGTTGATGTGCAGTCTTAGGTTTCCACCACACATAATGTTTTGCATGTAGACCAGAAAGTTCAATTTTGGTCTCATCTGACCAGAGCACCTTCTTCCATGTTTGCTGTGTCTCCTACGTGGCTTGTGGCAAACTGCAGACGGGACTTCTTATTGCTATATACTGAGACTGAGTTACACACAGGTGGACTCTATTTACTAATTAGGTGACTTCTGAAGGCAGTTGGTCGCACTGCATTTTATTTAGGGATATGAGAGTAAAGGGGGCTGAACACATATGCACGCCACACTTTTCAGATTTTTATTTGTAAAAAATCTTGAACACCATGTATCATCTTCCTTCCACTTCACAATTAAGTGATTCTTTGTGTTGGTCTATCACATAAAATCCCAATAACATACATTTAGGTTTGTGGTTGTAACATGATAAAATGTGGAACAGTTCAAGGGGTATGAAAACTTTTGGAAAGCTCTGTATATGGACTCATCAGTGTCTCTGGATGCTTCATGAAGCCGGTCGTCCTGGATCATCCTGCCCCATTGTTCTGTTTGCACCAAATGAGGTGTGAGTAGGTTCTTATCCTCGGAGGACCCAGATGTGTTGCACTCTGTAGTTTATTTTCATGATTAACGGAGTCGTCTGTAATCTCCAGACGGCGTGTGCTGAGATTCTTTTCCATTTCATCTGCTGCTAATTCCATTGTGAGGCCTTTTCAGAAGAGCCCTGCTAATCCACCCTGGCAGCCTGGAGACAGGTGCAGCCATCACCACAGAGACCGGCGTGTCCATGTGGGGCCGGTCTCTGGAAGGACGTCCAGGGGCTGCTGAGGCAGACGTGTGTGTCTTTGTCATGTGGTCAGAGGTGACGGTTCAGCGTCTGGTTAGATTTACTGACACAGCTGACCGAGCTGAACTTATTTTACATAATCACCAGTGTAACCAGGGTTAAACGGTGAGAAGGGGAGGCCCTTGTCTAATGATGTTTATTGTTTGATTTGACCACAGTGAAATCTGTGGGCATCCCCGTTTTCACCTTCCTTCAATTAACTGAACTCATGACTAATTATCTCTGACTGATTCCTTTGGTTTTGTTGCCTTAATCTGTTTGTCTCAGACATGCTGCTGGATCTCAGTGATATCGTGCAGGTACGTTTCCAGACTGCAGTCAAAACTAGAGCTCTACCTAGTGATTACATTTAGCAGGTAATCTGCAGATCTTTTTTTGATCAACAAATTTTTTTTTATAATGAAAAGATTATCAGAACAGGTGCAGGTGAGTTCATAAAATCATTTCTGAGCATTGAAACTTTCATTGTTTCTTTCTGACCTGTGGTAATCAGATTACTGAAACACTTGTAAACTAAAGGGAACTTCTGCAGATTTTGAGCCAACTTTGATGTGTGGTGATGCCCGCCCGCTTGAGTGTGCAACTTCACCTCTCACCACAACTCACGCCAACCACTTGCTCCTGCAGTCAGATGTTCACCATTGTAATTAATCCCGACTGGAGTGTGTGAGTGTGTGTGTGTGTGTGTGTGTACAAATTTAGAGCCCTGTCTATCAGTTTGCGTATTTAGTGGCAGCTGATTGACAGTGAGTCAGGGGTGTGGTGATGGGGCATTTCTCAGTCACAGCTGGTCTGAGGCTTTTATTTTTATGTGTCCAGCTGTCCTGGAGGAGCTAAACCCCCCCCATTATCCACACCCCAGCATGTGGAGGCTGGGAGTGGGTGGGGCTGGGGGGTTATTAATGCCCGGCATTTAGGCGGCTGTGGGGTGGTGATGTTCCGCCAGTCACACCCAGCCCACTAGGTTGGTCCAGCATTGTTCGGATGAATGCGGAGCTTTGTCACTGTTCACTGCTAAAGCAGCGTCAAGGCTTTTATTGATCAGGGCTGGATCAATACTGACTTTAAATATCAGCTGTGTTCTCACTTCTCCACCCTGGTAGCTCTCCAGATTGTGCACATTTAATCACGTGCTCAATGTCTTTCACATAAGATGTATACTGACTTCAGATCAGTTGCAGATGTGGTTGAGAGCTCAGGAAAAAAAAAATCATCGGTGGACTTGGACATGTTCACGTGTTTGGTTTCATTCTGGATTTTCTTTGATAAAGACCTGGATTTGTTGAGCTTTGACCTGCTTATCAAATCTTTCATGTGTCTTTGCTCTGAGTAAGGAGCAGTTTAAAAGTCTGACTTGACATTTGAAGACGATGTCTACTTGCAGCGTAGAGGAATGAGATTGCACACCCAGCCTTGTATTTCAGCCAGTTGCATGATGATAGATTCAGAGTTGTATGGAATCTTATGGCTCCTTGTTCTCTCCTAATTGTGTGTGGGGACTAATTTAGACATGTCTCTGCCATATTTAAAGTGCACCTCAAATTTGGCTCCCTACAGTTTTTACTGGAAGATTCTGCCTTTTTCTAGTAGTGTGACCATCATTTCTATCCTTAACACCAAATTCACCAAAGTAAATGCCAAGATCAGGACCTTCTTCCAAACACTACATTCAAGACATGTTTCATGATTTTAATAGTCGCACTGTGTCTCCCAGATCCAATCATGTGACTTGATTGTACTTCATGTGACCATGTACGAGCTACTTTATACGACTAATTCTCAAGAGACTTGTTCTCAAGCACAGCTGGTCTGAGGCTTTTATTTTTAGGTGTCCAGCTGTCCTGGTGGAGCTAAACCCCCCCCCCATTATCCACACCCCAGCATGTGGAGGCTGGGGGGTTATTAATGCCCGGCATTTAGGCGGCTGTGGGGCGGTGATGTTCCGCCAGTCACACCCAGGCCACTTGGTTTGTCCAGCATTGTTCGGATGAATGTGGAGCTTTGTCACTGTTCACTGCTAAAGCAGCATCAAGGCTTTTATTGATCAGGGCTGGATCAATACTGACTTTAAATATCAGCTGTGTTCTCACTTCTCCACCCTGGTAGCTCTCCAGATTGTGCACATTTAATCACGTGCTCAATGTCTTTCACATAAGATGTATACTGACTTCAGATCAGTTGCAGATGTGGTTGAGAGCTCAGGAAAAAAAAAATCATCGGTGGACTTGGACATGTTCACGTGTTTGGTTTCATTCTGGATTTTCTTTGATAAAGACCTGGATTTGTTGAGCTTTGACCTGCTTATCAAATCTTTCATGTGTCTTTGCTCTGAGTAAGGAGCAGTTTAAAAGTCTGACTTGACATTTGAAGATGATGTCTACTTGCAGCGTAGAGGAATGAGATTGCACACCCAGCCTTGTATTTCAGCCAGTTGCATGATGATAGATCCAGAGTTGTATGGAATCTTATGGCTCCTTGTTCTCTCCTAATTATGTGTGGGGACTAATTTAGACATGTCTCTGCCATATTTAAAGTGCACCTCAAATTTGGCTCCCTACAGTTTTTACTGGAAGATTCTGCCTTTTTCTAGTAGTGTGACCATCATTTCTATCCTTAACACCAAATTCACCAAAGTAAATGCCGAGATCAGGACCTTCTTCCAAACACTACATTCAAGACATGTTTCATGATTTTAATAGTCGCACTGTGTCTCCCAGATCCAATCATGTGACTTGATTGTACTTCATGTGACCATGTACGAGCTACTTTATACGAATAATTCTCAAGAGACTTGATGAAGTAAAGGTTAAATAACATACAGTACTAATTCTCAAGAGACTTGAAGTAAAGGTTAAATAACATACAGTATAAAATAAAACCCAGCGACATAAGAGGCAGGAGTGGGCAGACAGTCGTGGTTTGTCCAAAGTACTCGACTTGGAGGTCAAAGTGAGCGTTCCCTGAAATGTCTGTGATAAATGTTCCCCGCACAGGAAAGCCAAGTGCACAGCTACAGAGAGTGCAGTGGGTCAGAGTTGAAGCAGGAAGTTGTAAATGTGATGGATGTTTCAAAACGGTTTGGGTCCTATTTTTACTGGTCGTCTTTGTTTTCTCTTCCAAACAACTTTGACTAAACTGGACGTTGTTCACAACCTGTTGGGTCGTGTTTTAGTGACACCGCTGTGTCCCCACACCTCGGTTAACACAACGTGGTGAGTAAAACGTTGTCGTTACAGATGGAAATGATGGACAAACCCACGAGACTTGGACATTATCTTCACTAACTCCTGAGAAAACCTGGACTCCTCAGCTACATTCACCAGCTAGTAGCTGCTGCTGAGCAGGTCGTGCACAGGCTTAACAGGTGTCGATGAAAGTGCAGAGACTGAGCCAAAACATTAGTCGCTGCTATAAAACCAAAAAGAAAGCGCTTCGTGCTCTGTAAGCTGAGGGTCAATGATAAAGCAGAACATGTGAAACCTCCAGCACTGCACGTTTGATTCATTGATTTAAAAATGGTAAATATGTTGATTTTGTTTCCGAGTTCTTTGAGACAAACATTCTAACATTAAAAACTGCACTTGTTCCACTACTTCTGTCCACGTCCCAGAATAGTAGGGGAGCATCTGTGTCCCTGCCCGACTCCCGTGGGGGGGACTAAGAGCGAGAGTCCAACTGTCTGTTCTGAACCACCCCACCCCTCCAGCCCCTGGAGCTGTGAAGGAATGACAGAGCTCTGACCCGAGTTCACGACCTCGTCCTGCAGCTTTCATTGCCTTCTGCTCCAGGTTTCAGCCCAGAGCCCTTAGAAACCTAATTCTGGAGGTTATTGCTGTTAATTTGTGGAGATGATGATAGATGTGCCGCCTTGTGGCTTTGTTATTCAGCAGTGTTCATCACTGGGTCCTTTCAGGTGGGGGGTGGGGATGACTGGGGATTTACTGCTCAGTCTTCTGGAGGTGTTGTGGGTAAAACATAATGAAACATCTGTGCTGGGAGGTGCTGGCATGGTGACCCCAGTGACACACTCTCCGCTCAGCCTGGTTCAACCCTTAGCCATCCACTCCTCTACCTGTGGGACACTCACACCTGAACAGACTTCAGGGTTTTGTTTTTTTTTGAAGTTACAAAAATATCATAGAAATTTTTTTTCAGCCTTTCAGGTCACTTTCAAAACAAATGCTCTGTTGTAGAAATAATCCAGGTACAAAGCACAACAGTGCTAATGATGAAAATATACCGTCTCCCCACCTCTAGTTTGTCCAGTAGTGAAACAAGATCAAAAATGGTTTGTTCCTGTCGGCTGAACCCTGCAAAATGAGGTGCACTAGTTACCAGCAGGGGACCGACTGCCTCATCACATCTAACACTGGGTTTTCTCTGGGGATACAGTAACTGATACAGAAAGTGTACTCTTGTTGTTTTGGGGATACAGACCGTTTCCACTGGAAGTGCTGTGTCCATTCTGCTACAAGTCACAGCGGCGTTGACATAAGCAGCTGCACCAGACATTTGCCAAAATAAAATACTATAAAATTTTAACTTGAGTTGTGACTGAAATCCAAAAACAATAATAAGACCTCACAAAGCGTTGGCTAACTTTCAGTGCTTGACAGATTTTTAAAAAGAAATGTTCATAAATGTTACGTTTCATCTTGGCGAAGGCTTGGACTTGAGTAATGGCCTGTAAGGAGTCCTGCTTTGAGGCCAACAATCAGTTCAGCCACTGTTTGCTCCATTTTTCAGTCGTTTGTTGTAAAAATAGCTCTGGCCTGTGAGCCCAGTCGGTATCAAAACAGCCTTTTGTCTTTGTTGAAATTTGTGCTGAGGCGTTTGGTGAAACAGTTGCCAGTGCACGTCTGTAACAGGTCGCCCTGTAGGTGGTAAAAATAGTCGGTCATCGGTCATGGCCTGCTCTCTGGCACACCGACGTTATCAGGTCAACGAGCCAAAGTCAAAATCATTAAAATGCCTTTTCTTTTTTTTAAACTGACCCTGGCGGTGAAAGAGAACGTACAGTCCAAACACACCGCCATGTTGGTCAGAGTTATAATGCAGGACAAAATCAGGGGGCGACTGAGGGGCAGACATGAATGGACAGAGCAGTGAGCTGCAGATGATCCCTTCAAACAGTAGCAGGGTTCAGCTTTTAATCACCAAAGTGAAACGCTCGCTGACCTTCAGCTAGATGATGCAACCTGACAGTGATGCTACGGCCTTAAGTCCGTTGTCTGTCTCTCTCTGTCAAACACACCAGTGGAGCACATTGCATCATCGTGTTACTGTCAGACTCCAGCTCTACTGTCATGGCCTCCTGGAGTCACCACGCTCACTGACATGTAAACACCTGAATCCAGTTGGGAAAACTCGACTAAACTGGCAGCACATGGTTTTCTCCTGATGCTCACACGCTTATCTTTGTTTCTGAAATGTCTCTGTCCTCCGCAGGTGAACGTCTACATCTTGGGAAAAACGTTCCTTGTCCTGGCCAGAGAACTGTGCATCAACGCCCCGGTTATAGGTACTGACCTCAGCTTCACCCCCTCTTTATGTTCACTGTTAGTTGAATGGGTCGCTCTCTTTTCAGCAGCCAGTTCACACATGTCTTATGTAAATGTGTGCAACTAGGAATTTATTCTATCAGTGAATCCGTTTTTATGAATAATCAGTTATCCATCAAAAGTAGTGACAGTTTCAAAGCTGGAACTGAAAAATGTCTGGAACACTGGCTTGATACAATTTGAAAGGTGGCTCCAGAGAGTTAGTGTTGCACTTGTAGACAAGATGACGACGCACAAGTGATCAAATCAAACTGTCGCTCTATAATGGGTCAAACACCAAAAAGCAACTGGTCCTATATTTCCCATGAAGCAGCTGGATGATGCGTTTCGTCTTTCAAGCTCCAGTTTTACTTTTTTTTTGTTATTATTTATCTTTACATTTTGCAGATGCCTCCAGATCTGATTTCAAGGACAAAAACAGAGCATCCACCTGAAAACCTGCACGTTTGTGGTAGTTTTGACACCGTTTTTTTAGGTTAACCTCACAGTTTAGTAGCTGAAAGAGTTTTGGTGCTGCTATAAATGAAAACAGGTCATCGTCTTCATATCCAAACCACCGTCTCCACAGATGGGGAAACAAAATACTTGAATATAATACACAAAATATTATAGGAAACCTTTGACCTCAGCTATTCTGCTGTCAGACATGTTTTAATTAGCTTTACTAATTTAAATGCAGACTTATTGTAACTGTGTGCATTATAAAAATAATTATTGGTACCTCTGTGGGCCCCCGATCCTGTGCCCCCCCATCCGTGGCAGCAAAAACCTCATGTTTCCATACAACCCAGGTGTAGTTCACTCGGGTGCACCCAGAGGGCGCTGCTGCCCCTCAGATGCCCAGTCCCTCACCCAGACACCATAATGATGTGACATCTGTGGCTTCAATCACATTATAACCTTTATGTTTTGTCGTCAGGTGAATAAGTATTCTTGTACAGAACACATCTGGTCTTCAACAGCATCAAGCTGTTAACAGTTAAATTGGACTTTACAAAAGAGACAGTGTTTCTCAGGCCGTCCTCTGAAGTGCAAAACAACTGCTTGTTGACAGGATTTCCTTTTTTGCATTTAGAACCATACCACTACATCACGTTTGCTCCTGGTGTAATCTTACTGCTTGGACTATAGCAACAACATTGTATATAGACTTGCAATTACACAAAGCAGTTCCTGTGTGTTCCAGTTGTGGAGCTCAGCTTGGTTACATAACCACAAATCACTGTATTAATGTTGTTTCTACAGCAGCCGCAGCTCTCAAACACAGCATCGGAGCAAATAATGTTAACCCAGTATTTAAATAAAAATATTAAATTAAATAAGATAAAACGGCTCCTTCTCTTTTAAAATAGTCTCTCAAAGAACTAACCAGGTCATTTAGTGTGACATTACTCAGTGTCTTTACTGCTACATTACTTCGAAGGCCGGGACGATCAGCTGGATTCTCCACCCACGGTCCACAGCAGCTTATGCATAGAACACAAGCTCGGGGATCTGTCCTCCCTGTACTCCGGTCCCATTGGTGCTGTCGGAGGAGCATTGGAATTGAAATGTCACCTTTCCGCACTGCACCTCCGTCATGCCCTCCTGGCCAAAATAGCTCAGCTCATTCCCGTCCAGCACGGCGCTTACAGTGTAGAATGCGTCCTGCTCTACCTGAACAGGATGCTCGAACCACACCGAAAATGTACTGCTCGACCCGTCCGACACAAACTTTGTCAGGTTCTGCGCCAGGATCACCCCTTGTCTCTTGAGTTCAATTTTGACACTGTACTCGGCTTTGCTGCCGCTTGACCCGTACAGTCCCAAACCGGCGATAAAGATCCTCTTGTCCACCGCAAACTGGATGCTGTCGCACCGGCCGCGGTAGCGCCACTGATTGCTCCGATAGGCCGAGGACTGGAAACGGTGGCACCTCTGAGGTGCCAGACCCTTCCTCGCAGTCAGAGGGAAGTCCAGCTGGGGTTTCTTAGCTGCCGTGTACCACAGGAACACGTTGTGCGTCTCCTCCAGAGTCAGGATATCGGACTGTGCTGCCCCGTTAGCAAACTCCTCCAGGCTCATGGTGGGGATGCGCACTAAGAACAGAGCCTTGCCCAGGACTTCTCTCCTGTTGCGGGTGGTGGGACCCAAACCTTGTCTGTTGCACTCAGCTGTGGCCCAGTTCATAACGGCCTCAAACACCACCACCTCCTTGGTGTTGAGTGTCTCCCTCCTCAGGATGATCTCCAGCGTCTGCAGGTCGATCTCACAGAAGCCCTCGGAGCACAGCGCAAGCTCAGCCTGAGCGTCGATGACCTCCCAGCAACGCTGCGTCAGCTCGGGCTCCTCGAACAGGCGGCTCTGGGAGAGCAACACGCAGGCGTTCTTGGCCTCCAGGCTAGTTTCCAGGAAGGTGACGCAGGCCTTGGCCAGTGCAGGGACAATGTACTTCTTGGCAGCATACAGGGTGGCCAGCACCGTGTCTGCCTCCAGGTCAATCTCATCACTGTACAAGTACCTGGGAGAAGGAGAAGTGCCTTTTAACCACAGTGAATGTGCACAAATCTCCCACCGCACCGCAGCAGTGAGCTACTTTAACATTAAACCGCAAGAAAAGACATGATGTTCTATGTAAACTGAGTTTGGAAAAACTCTCTGGAGTGCTCATCATCTTGTCATCTTTGCTTGTTTCCAGTCTAATTTCAGCTGCATCAAGAGAATTCACAGAAAGCACAATGGAAACAATGACTGGCTTTTTGTTCCCAGAGAGGGCTGAGTGACTTAACACATCCTGCTGTTTTCTCAAAAGACGGCACACAACAGGCCGTGATGCTGGTTTAGCCAGTGTTGATGAATGAGCAGCAAAGGTGGGTATTTGTACTGACCAGTGTGCACATATTCCTCTCTAAGAAAACTGTCAGGCTGTGGATGAGGAAAAGGGGAATACATGTTTCTAGTTGAACAGTGAGCTCTGAGAATACCAGCAATTACAGAGCACAGTGCTGCCTCCGCTGCTGCTCTCTGGTGCTCAGAGGATTTTGGCATTCGCCTCTGATTAGCTTTGGATGAGTAATAATATGCTTTGAAGTGACACTGACTGTGCTTGTCATGTCTCCTTTTGCTTGGCTGTGTGAGGGATGGTGAGTGGCTTACTTCAGCAGAATTAGAAAAGCAGCAGGTTCCACATCTGGGATATGGATCTCAGACTCCTCCTCTGCCAGATCGCCGTAAAACATGGCACAGAAGACGGAGCTTCCCACGGCCAGCACATACTGGGAGGGAGGAGGAGAGGGAGGGAGGAGCAGATGCATCAGAGACACAGAGATGCAACCAGAGTCGCACTTACTTTGCTAAGTTCAACAAAGGAGCAGCTCTTGTCTCTGGTGCAGAGACAATTTCCCTGCTCAGCTAAAAACAGATTTAGAATTTCCAAACATCTTGTCAGAAAAGGAAATCAAGAACTGTTTATCCAGGAGGTAAAACGTCTTTACCTTGTGTGCTGGAACCCTCTGCGATGCCCCCAAGGGGCCAACAATGAAGTGGACATCAGCCATCAGCTCATTGTTAAACATCAAGGCGTTCCTAAAAACAGAGCAGGTTTCATGAATAAGGCTAAAGTATTGTATAACATCAAGTCCTCCCACACTTGTTTTGCCTAGAGACACTGGATATATTCATAGGGTTGGCGAGCATATATCTACAGCAGTGGGGCTAATAGTTATCTTATTAGCAATAAATCTACTTAGTATCTGTTGTTTAGCTTATAAAATGGTAATAGTTACTGTCACAGGAGAAGAAGAACTATTCACATTAGAGACAAATCCTGGTTGTTCAAAAAGATTTTTGCAGCTCAGAATAATTTCTGCTATTATACAAACTTGGGCCAGGGATAGTGTTGTCTCCCAAATAAATGACACACCACTAAGGAGTGTGCTACCTGGGGAGTTGCACTTTACAGTGCATCTCATTTCCTTTTCAAACACCGTCATATTAATGCAGTTGGCCGCTGCAGTGTCCTGCCGATACCTACTAATGACCGTTAATTGATCTTGTGACATCCTGCGTTTCAGGGGTGTCTGGCACACAGCTGTCTGCGTTTCTACACTTTGAAACCGAGCATTTGGCCCAGGAGCTGCAGCAGTTACCTCTCTCTCAGTGTGGGGTGGCTGCACTGCCAGCTGGGTGGGTCTACGTTGTTGTTGTTGATGTTTTGCTGGGTGGTCGGGGTGGTCGCCGTGCTGCTGCAGCTGGCCTGGCACACCTGCACCTTCTTCGTCTTCTCGGTGTCCGCCACCGTAGTGCCGTTGGCCAGGTTGGTGTTGTTGGTGTTGGCGGCGGGGTACAACTCCGCAGCCATCTTCTTCTGCTGCTGCTTCTTGCTCGTCAGGGACAGAGTCAGGATCTCATAACATACCGGCAGCCTGCCCGGGAGCCTGCCGACCTTCTTGGACTTTTTCAGCGTTTCTGGAAGTAGGAGTAGATAAGTCAGACACCTCATGATCCGGCCATGATGGAGCAACCTGCAGTCTGCCGTTGGCATCGGCACCAGTAACCGATCTTCTTGGTGTTAATACCCGGTGAACCGAATCACGATCGGGCTCTGGTTCAACTATACGAGGTTTACCCAGAGGAGAATTTGCCCTTTTCTGCCTGAAATCCGGCTCCTACAGCGCCGCGTTAAAACGCCAAAGTTTACACGACATCATCTAAATATCCACCCAGCACCAGAGTCCGTTTCCTCCCCCGTATCCAACTTCGACTATGATCACTTTTCCTCCGTTCCCTGGCGGTCACCTCATCCTCGGTAGACGGAGAAATGTCCACGAAGCGTCGCTTGTTTTCCCTTTTCTCAGCGAGTGGGTAATCCGGTTATTCTATTTTTTCCCACCCCGCCTCTGCGTTAATCCTCAGAGATTTGTGCCTCTGCTTTTCTCCGAACCGGCTACTGAGGGAGAGCAAACCAGCTACGACGTCCAACTGCTGCCATAACCATCCGTGGTAAACAGTCATTTGTCGGGAGTTTTTACGGTCTTCTGTTTTTTTTTTTTCTGCGTTTTTTACAGTCGCGATCTCCTCGGACGCCCAGGGGTCGCTGAGGACCAATCAGATTCACGCACCGCGCTGACGTCAGAAGGGCAGACGGCTCCGCAGAGTGCGTCACCGCTCCTCCTCCGCCGCAGGGACTAGTTCTCCCTGATTTTGCATACAGTACAATAATACGCATATTCACAGAGGAAACTTTGGAATCAGTTGACTGAAGATATTTACAGGAATAAAACCTGAGCTTCACATGCGAGTTCTGCATGAGGGAAAAGTCTAGAGAAACATTTTAATCTTGTGTAACATGCCTTCAGATGACAGTTTATTAGGTAGGCTACTGTACACCTGACTAAAACTCAGTCTAATCCAGCAGTACTGCAGTAAATCCTCCTCCTGAAGGGGGTAATTTTCAGTTTGTGTTCAAACTGTTTAGGAGAGGTTGTTGATTCAACTGCGAGATCATGTTGGAGGCTGCAGTTGAACTGTACTGCTTTATACAGAGCTGTTTCTTTTATAGCCTCATTGATAAAAATGGGGATGTACAGCATAATAGAAACACCTGTCAATAAAACACATTACACCTCAAAAACACCATGTTGTCTAAAATACATCTGAATCAATATGCCTCTAAACTGATCTCAACAACTGAACATCACCTTCATAAAGGAGTTATTACCGGACTGTTGGAACAAACTGATTTGGTTTTAATAAACTACCAAATGAGTGTATATGTGCACGCAAAACATCAGTATACATTTCTGCTTTTTTTTTTTTTTTACCACTGTGTACAACCCTAAAATGGCTATGGTGTTGTACAGGTAGTCTTTGGTAATGTAATAACACACAAACTTCATACCCGAATATTTCCAGCAGCTCAAGTTCAGTCTTAAAACATCACTAGTTGGCCATTATTCACTGACATTCAAATATAATACAATCCATCAAAGGAAAAAGCAACTCAGAGACCGATTTCTCCGCCTAGAGTAACAGAAAAAAAGACCAGAATGCATTGCAGTTCCAGACAGACAGTTCTGAGGGAAGGTTGCAGCTTCCCCACCACTGAAGGATTTTAATGCTATTCATACAGCCCAGCTCCCACATGTGATGGAAAGGAGCACGTTCCCGGCCTTTCTCTGGGGGCACTTTTGGGGAATGTAGGTGAGGCAGGTTGAGGGGAAGAGGGTTCACAAAAAAGTAAACTCCACCAGTCCATCACAGAATGACTCCTGGGCTGTTGGAGCATCGCAGATCGATTCTGTTCCACAGTAAAAGAGGATTTGAGCTGTTTGTTTTTCCCCTTAAACAGCATCGTTTTATTCTATGGATATCTTGCCTGGCACTCACAGGCAAGTAAAACTTGGAGCAGTGACGGCCAGCTCCGCAGACGGATCATTACAGGGTGCGGAGGGGGGAAGGGATCAGCCTGGATCTGATTACCAGCTGGCTCTACCAGCTTTCCACTGGACTGCTCTTTAAACATAGCTACTGACTTCAAAGATACTTGATTCTGCTGTCATAGCTGGGCCAGCCTAAAGACAAACTGGCCTACAGCCAGGGTCTTTTCATGGTAAAAGCAGGCAGTTTGCAGAATCCAAAGGATTTTTCATAAAGTTTATGATATGCTCTACTGTAGACATTTCTCCGAGACACTCAGGATGCAAAAAGTTGGAGATTGTGAGGTTGTGTTTGGATTGTTGCCCATTCACATCCTCCTGCCAGCTGGGAAAATCTGGACAGACGCACTGAATGAGAAACAGGCGGCTTCATGGTGCACTTGAGCTAAATGCTAATCCTCCAGTTCTCCAGTGGAGCTAATTAGCAGCCAGCTGTGGGAGGCTGGTTGTACTGGGAAGATCACAGGTGCTAGTAAATTTAAATCTAATAATCTGAAGCAGGATTTGGTCAAAGGGAGAAATAAAAGAGCTGCTTGCATTCTTGCTTTTGGTTTGTTTACTGTTCAAACATGTTTATTGGAGAGTTTTGGCTGAAGCATCCATCCTGTGAGGTTTTTGGCAATGTGGCGTGAAAGCAGTTACGTTAACAGTCTTTGCCATAATTTATCCCTCCAAGTTTATCACGATGAAACAATAGCTGAAGATGATCATCACATGACCCTTAAACGGTAGCATTTTAGTAGACAAAACGATCTCTCCAGTTGCTCTTATTTACTTTTAACACATCGCAGTGCCTTCATCAGCAGATGATGATGAATCTCCTCAGCTGTCATAAAAGTGTAGCTAGTTTAAGAATTTAGTTTCTAACCACTTTCAGGTCTGTTTCCATGTTGACTTCACAAGGTGAACAGAATAGTTTACATCTCTTGTTTTTATTGACATGCACATTTTTAGGTGTTTTTATTAAAGTTACAAGAGCATGTATTTTATTGTATCTGCATTTGGATACAGATCATGTACCCAAGCCTGATCACCTCTTGTATTTTACTACTCTGCTCATTTACTAAGAGACACTTAAGTGTGAAAAGGAGCAAAGAACCTGAATTTGAAGAATTGACTTGTATCATGAAAATGCTCTTAAAATGCAACTTGAGCTAAGTAAATAATCTGCCTTCTCTTTCCTGTCTCCACCAGACCCATCCCTGTATATTCCCCGCTTTGCCCAGATGCTAGAGTTTGGCGAGAAGAACCACGACGTCTCCATGACGGCAATGAGGCTGGTGCAGAGGATGAAGAGGGACTGGATGCACACGGGACGAAGACCGTCGGGGCTCTGTGGAGCAGGTAACCAAGTAGCGTACTGGGAGTATTTCTTTATTTCAGGTCATCCATGCACTCCTGGTTCAGTCCTCTGAAGCAAATCATCTAAAGGCCCATTTATGCCTCCTCATTGACTCCACACAGAGCCCCTGCTGTAGGCTACACAACTGGCCTTTGCCTCTGTGAGCATTTCTACTTGTGCGCTGAACTGCTTGCGTCACTCTGCAGTTAGACCACCAAAACAGATGGCAGTGGCATTTCTATGGCACTGTGTTGAGCTTCTTACTGTACTACAGTCAATGGAGACTGAAACTGAGCAGATCATGTTGGAGCTAATGGATGATGACCCGCAATTACTTCTACTGCCTTTATTCTAAGGCTCATGCTTCTCGAACAGAGATTAACATACTCCATAGCTGAAACTGACCTCTTTGTGTAGGAGGCAGGTTTACTGAGAATTTCCCTCAGATCAATAATGTAGCACGTGCACCTTCACCTGAGGTCAACTGTGGTTTGTAGTGCTGTGAACAGGAGGGGTTTGCACTTGTACGTCTGACAGTTTCTGCAACTAAGTAGGTTTTTCAGATGTATTTAGGCCTTTTACAGTTTTTTGCCAGAGACGTGTGGATGAAGCAGACCTGCCAGCATCAACCTAAACTCACCACAGTGCGTCTGGTGTTGGTTTCCCACCTTACCTGTCATCTCGTGTGTGAGATCTGTGGTCCTGTTTATGTGAAACAGCACAGCTCCTCGCTCCTTGTCAACTTGAATACACTCATCTTTGATGCATTACCAGCTAAGACATCCTGAAATCGAATTGCCGGGTTCCTCTGCTCCCTGCATGTTTACGCTCACGGTTTCAATTTTCAGCTTTCTTTGTTTCTCTGCTGCATTGCCTGAATAATGAATTGCTTATCATAAATCATTGAGAAGGATACACTCAGATGGAAGAAGGAAAAGTTTGTTCCCAAATATGACAGAAATATTGCAGTTGACGAGCCAGAAAGGTGCATGTGCACAAAGTTGCTCAGGGAAGAAGAATTTTCATATCACGGCTTTGCTTTTTAATGGTTTTAATGACAAAGAGGACTAAAGAAACAAATGACAAAGTTTACTTTACGTTTAGAAAGGAAAACAACTTTAAAGTGTTATAACTTCAAGATAATGGCAATGAGCTGTTTGAGAAAGTCCTCCGGAGGTAAAAGCCAACACTTCAGTCTTAAAGCCTGTTAGAAGTAGAAGCATGCATCCATCTTTTAACAGGCTCTTGAGCGAGGCAACTCTAATGACGGTTATATAACTGTTCCCCTTCAAGGCTGGAGCTGCAATTCATTGCATAATAATAGTCTTGTTGTTACTCCTTTTTAAAAGTGTGTTTGTGTGGGGGCCGGCTGTTGGCTCCCCACACTGAGGTGCCCCCGCCCTCTCGCCCATGTCCTCCAGCCTTCAAGTTGCTCGTGCAGAAACACCTAAAAATCACATAGAAATGTTATATCATCATGCGTGTCTTGTCGTTCCAAACGTAGAGCAAAAGAAATGTCAGTATTAGTGTCATGAGTAGGTTGCAGGTCACAACACCAGTTTAACAACAATACAAGTACCTACTAGAAAATGGGCATCAGACGTTTCAGTATCAGCTGCAGCGTGTAAATGCGTTGACAGGTGTGACGCATGTGTTGTAAATGCAGAACAAAGACTAAGGAATGACGCAAAGAAAGTCGAGGCTTTGTGCACGCTGTGGAAACGGTACACTGAACCCAGGGTGGGCATTGTTAAAGAGCACTGTCTGGGGGGGCACTAGGGCTGTCACAGCGTGCAGAGAAGGTTAAATCCTCTATATGGCGTTTGTGTAGTTTTAGGGTTGACTTGTGAATAGTGAATAATGTGCACAGACAGACAGTGAGTGAGTCATATTTGTTTGCTGCTTTTAGATCTTGGTTAAGTCTGTCTTTCTGTCTCCAGCTCTTCTTGTTGCTGCTCGTATGCATGAATTTTGCCGCACCATCAAAGAAGTTGTCAGTGTGGTGAAAGTGTGTGAAAGTACGCTAAGAAAAAGGTGGGTGGTGAGAGTTTTTGATACTTTTGACTTCAGTCGAAAGCTGTTCTTTTGGAACATGGTTAATGCTTGATAGGTCTAGAATTTAGAAATAACTAAAGGTTTTGAAGTTAGAAGTGTTCTTACATGTTTGTTTTTTGTTAAGGGTGCATGAGCAGAAAACATTGTTTTTAAACTGCTGTTGGTAAAGAACATCATGCCAAAGGTGCTTATAAATATTGGGTCACTTTAATAGATTAGGTCCCTAGCTAACTAGCTGAATTAGCCAAGTTATCTATAACAACGGAAGACAGGTTTGGTTTGCAAGGCTGTACAATTCTTTAAAAGTACTTATTTGCTGATAAATCCCACTGTTCCCTCCAGAAAACAATGGATCTGACTTGGCTGTTTCGAGCTATTTGAAGCTACATAAGTTTCACATGACCCGTTTTTGACCCCCTTAATGTTGGTCCAGAGGAAAAAGAGGGTTCACTCACTCAAATCATGGGCAGTATGTAAAGTGTTACCAACTGTCAAACTGTCCAGACATCTGTGCTGATGTGTGAAACCTGTTGATGTGGGTGTGTTTCACTGAGCTACTGTTCTAGAATAATCAGTCACGGTGATGCATCTTCGAATTTCAAGTTCCTTTCTGTTCCATATCAATACCCGGCAACTTCTCCTGCACCAGGCTGACCGAGTTTGAGGACACGCCCTCCAGTCAGCTGACCATCGAGGAGTTCATGAGGGTAGATCTGGACCAGGAGTGTGACCCACCCTGCTTCACAGCTGGACTGGAGAAGAAAAAATCTCTAGAGGTACAGGTTCACTGTCTCCTTACAAAGAAACACCCAGCATCAGGGCCAAACTACAGACAGGTGGTCCCGGCTTTAAAGTCCTTTGAGGAACACCACATGTTTATGTGAAATGAGAGAAATGCAGCATCACTCCATCTTTAACATATGTGTATAAAATGTAATGCAGTTTTCCTGATGAGTTTTATGCAGCCCTTAGTTTCTCAAGTAATTAATGGAGGATATTAACCTCTAAAGTAAAACTGTCAAAGATCACTGTTCTCCACATTCACACTCTTAACAGAGAGCAGTCAGGGTTTATGAAACATTAACACATTTTAAGATTTTAAAGCTACAGTATGTCACATTGTTCCAAATATTTTTGTTGTAGAAATCTACTCCAGAACGTGTCTCACTGTGGGGAGGTGCTGTCGAGGCCTCCTGTGACCCAGACTCATTGAACAGCACTGGCAGCGGTGCAGAGATATTGGCTTCTAGAAGGTTTTGAGCGGGATTTCTGACCAATCAGAGATGTTCACTTATTTCTGTGTTGCAGCCAGAGACTCAGGCGGACTTGGTTTAACCCACAGTGTCTTTTATTTCTGCACCTCACAGCAAAATAATGCAGTAATTACAGTTGGGTTGTACAGTCTGCCAGACTACTGGTCTCTCTCCTACACAGTCGTAACTAGAACATGAGTGGTGGAGGAAGAACACCTTCTTCTCTTGCTGCTTCTGCTTTACAACTCGCTCAACTTCCTCACAGACGCCCCCTGGTGGTGACAGTTGTGCAACATTTCTGTAAACACCTGTGTGAAATAACTTGTTGCTGCTGGGAACATATGAACATTAGCTGCATCTCACTGAGACAGAATTAATTTGTTACATCTGAACAAGCAATAGTACACTCGGTAGTGACCTGAACTCAAAATAGGCCGTGTGAGGTACCTTATAAAAATATATAAACCAACTGACATTGTAGAAAACATAAACGATAGCCATAACCCATCAGGTGCATACTGGCTGACAATTGAATCTATAATTGGTGCTTAACATGATGGATGCAAAAAATCTTCCAGATAGTTAAGAAACTTAATTATAAACTCTTTCAAAGCTTTCAACCTTCTTTCTCAGATGGAGTTTAGGTGGTTTAGTTGTTGTCATGTGGTGAAACTCCATCATCTGATTAAAGGCCACAGGTGGTTGACAGCTGCATTTTGGGTTTTGTGCTGTTTTTGTTAATTTTGGAGAGTCAAGTTCTTTCAGATCAAATCTTGAAGATTCTTTGCTCGTTAATCATTCAGCATTTTCTCATAACACGATGGAAAAGAGCAAAAATTTCTACAGGATTCACGGTTTCTATAATAAGCAAAAGCAATTAACATTTACATTTTTGTCACTCGCACACCTCAGCTGTGTCACGCCGACATCAAATCAAACTCGTGCTCAGTGTTGTGTACTTGAGTGAATCAAAAGTACTTCTGAAATCAATGGCGACTGCTGCCAACCACCCACAGTCCTCGTGTTTAATATTCTTTTATTCTGCGATGCTTCACTTGGTAATCGTTTCACCCTGTAGTCACTGTTGGATTCACTCTCTCACTCAGCTCCTCTCCTTTCTCTTCCTCCGTCTAGCTGGAGATCGAGCTGAAGAAAAAGATGAATTTTGTTGAAGGTATGAATGCGTCTGTGCGCCTTCACATTGAAGGCATCTGGACTCTTAGACAACTTTGCTTTTCTTTTAGTTTCAAAATGATTTCTATTAACATTTCAGGGTAGTTAGACTAACATTCATAACATCAGCAAAGACAGACGTTGATTGCACTTTCTTGTTCTACTTGATGCGTCTGCCATTTGGCCGACCTTGACTGGATGGCACAGAGATGGATGTGGTTACACTGAGGAGAAAACTGAAACGCTGCAATGGTTTAGTTTCTGCACAACATATAATTAACCATACATTATGTTACAGTGCTAACATATTATATTGTAATTATAGAACCAAGGGAAATATAATTAAAAGGGTTAGCAAAGGTTCTGAAGATCCTCTTGTGACAACCAAGATTGTAAACAGCACCACAAGTGTAGTTTCTTTTCCTCTGTGTCGCACACATTCATTCATTTTAGGGGCATGGAAATGTTACTGCATCTTTTTTTTTTTTGTGTGTAATACTCACTCTTACATAAAATACTTCAGATCCAGGAATCATTCTAGGTTCAACTGTGATGTTTTTTTATCAGATGAAATTCAAGGCTACCAGGATGAAATTGACGCAGAGCTTCAGAGCAGCAGACCCAAACTGAGAGGAGTGTACGCTGCCTACGTCAAAGAAGGTACAGACCCGGAGGAGCAATGTCGCATACCGTCCGTTGATGGGTCCTTTTTGATCCCCACAACTCCTCATATCACACACCAATAAGAAGGAAGATAGGCTTTGTATTAAAACATGGATACAGATGTTAGGAACTGAGCCAGTGGACTTCACGCTGTCAGAATCACTTTGCTGCTTAGTGAAGTGAAGTTACTGTTGTCATATCATCCAAAGTCTGTGTAAAAAAAGTATATGCGATTAAAAACAACAGAAAGCTGCACACTTGAACAGTACAGTCACAGTTATGCAGCGCTTTTGTCCTCAGCAATGACTAACTGATTTATTATGTGGCGAATAGTGGATTTGTAAATTAGGCCGTGATTTTTGGACCTGGTCATTAACTGGGCTACAGCGATTTCAAAGTCACGTTCATAAGGTGTCTCACAAACGTGCTAAATGTGAGCATCTTTCCATGGTCCCTGTAGACAGATGTAACCTGTTTGATGTCAACATGCAGTAGCTGTATACAAACTGAAGCCAGCACACTATAAAGCAGTTTATCAGGCAGAGTTAAATGCAAATACAAGCTTTTATAACACTAACTGGGAGGACTTTAACATTTGGAAAGCTGCAGCATATGGTCTGTAACAGACATGGACAATCAGCAGGACACATCCTCCCCAAGGGGCCACAGGACAGCTGAGGGGGGGACATGAACCAGACACTTATGCATTATTGAGTCATAACTCAGTAACACACAAACATAAAGCCCATAATGATGTCATTCAGCATGACTTAATGTTCTTTTGTCCTGCGATGCTTCACTTGGGCGAGAGCCTCATGGCAGAGGTTTTGAGCTGAGCTCAAAGCTGTTAGCATTTTCATCTGTAAGACTGGAATTATGCCGTTTTATAAGGTTTTAACATTTTTCAGGTGGCAAAGTGACCACTTTGAGAATATGCCGCCAGCCTTTTCAAGTAATACCCGTTTATAATTTGTCCTGATGTTTTCAGAGACGTGAGTGCTCGTTGTGTGACCAAGCTAGCTCTGTTAGCAGGCAGCTACATCTCGTTTGTCTGTAGGTGAGGACCTCTGTCATTCCAGTTGCACGTTATAGCTGCGTTTCCACTGTCAGAACCTAATGACCGTTTGCCTGACCAAAATAAAAGTAATGTGCCGGCGCTCCCACTTGCTCTTTAACCTTGTATGGATGGCCTTGAGCTGTAATGATGAAGGAACGACCCATGTTTACATCCTGCTGACAAGGGAGCTCATGTTGCTGCACAAAACATTAACTTCCTGTTCTAGAACCAGTGTGACCTTGTTAAGACACAGTAAAATGTCATGGGGGAGCTCATTGTGGTTGGCTGGGCAAATGGCGTGTCTGACTTCAACACCAATTCCCACAGTTGCAGCCCATCTCCTACCAACGCTGGATGCTTTTCTTTTTTCAGCAGTGACCATGATGTTTCACTAAGCCTGACCACGATGTGTTAGCTGCCTAGAGGTTAACTAAAGGTTAACCGTAGAGGTTCCACATCGAACTCTGTGTTTCTTCCTCTCAGACTATGACAGTATCGGTGATGACGAGCCAGACGAGGAGGACGAGCTTCAGGCCTTGGCCAGGCATTTTGGCAAAGACCTCAGCGAGCTCACAGTGGAGGCTCTGGAAAGACTAGAACAGAGGGGACCAAAAGAGGAAGAGGAGAACCAGGAGCAGGAGGGAGATGTCTCAAGGCGAAAAGGCCCGTCGCTGTTGTCCATCCTGGGCACGATTCCTCTGGGCCGCTTTGAGTCCATCGGCAACGGCATCGGAGACGAGAAGGCGAACGGTGAGTGCAACCTTTTTAAACTTTTTAAAGTGAATTCCCCTTCTCCTGTCACACTGGAGCCCTCACAGTCCTGTTTGGTATCACTTTACCAGACATTTGATTAACTGGAGGTTTTGTTGGTTTTGACACAGGAGCGTGATAATTTCATTTGTTTCCTCTCCTACCTTGGTTCTTAGATCATGTTCTTGGATGTCATCTGTTTGTGATACTTCTCTTCTTTTGCATCTTGACGTTTGGTCAGTTTGATCCATGAGGATTTAATAAATCTCGACTATGCAAACATTGGGCGGAGCTGAAGCTGCTGCTTTTAAGACACCATGTCAGACATTGTAGTGATTTGGTTTAACAGCCACGTTAATAAAAGCAGCAGTGCCCTCGAGGCTGATCTGATTGTGAATGCTGCAGTGATACTGCTCATCCTTGACTGTTCTGTTTATCTGTGGCACAGTCACATCAAACTTGAGTCTTTGAAGAGATTGAGCTCGGGTGAACCAATGTACTGCCCCAAGACAGACAAAAATAACTGGGTTCAATGTGATTTATCAGGAACCATAACCTGAACAAACTACAGGAAACGGCACTTATTGGTAGAAAACACAGGTGTGGACTCAGTCCTGACTCTTGTACCTTTAAACTCAATAAAATAAAAACATAACTTCACTTTGACTTAAAACTTTATATGCCTTCCTGCTAGCGACATCTGTGGAGGGAGGCATCAGGTTTTCAGGTTGTGTGTCAGTCCATGCGTCTGTCAAATGGAAACTTGACCGGTTGCAGTGAGTTCATTTTCCTGTCACCAGGTTCTTTGGATTAGGGAGGCAGTGATGTTGCTCAAACATGAGGGAAAGGCTCAGACAGACGATGACTTGTTTGGGGCCTGAAGCATAAATGGGAACTTGTGACCAAAACAACAGCCTGGACTGATGCTTGTATTTCTACTGTCCTGTGCGTCTGCTGCACAACTGATGCCGTGTGCCCTCTCCTGTTTTTCTAAAGTCTCACACGTTGGTTTCCTATTTGTTCAGACATGTGGAGCTGTGCTTTTATAACTTTGTTCATGTAATTAGCCTTAACTGGAAATTACAGATGCTGTCACTGTTTTGCATTGAGGTTGAACGTTGGGACCTGCATTTTAAATGTATTCTCTGTTAGTTTTTAAGTATGCACCAGATGGAAAAACCTCCACTTTAACACAATTTAGATTCATTTACTATTTTAGTGATTTTGCTCAGGGGTGTATGAGTTTTGTTTGCTATATATCAGGCTTTGCATGCACACAGGACATATGTACAGTATGTTAGTCAGGTCAGTTCAAAGTTGTCTTGGCGTTTGTGGACGTTAATAAAAAAAAATAAAGTAATGGTATCTGATGTGTACTGACTCTTGCTCACACGCAGTCGGGTAACGTGAACCAACAAAACTACGCTGAACGTCTCCGCTGTGGTTTGGATGGAAGAGAGAAAACAAACTGTAGCAGCTTCTGTCAGAGTGACTTATTAACAGTAGCCCAAAATAAAACAACTACAGGGATCCGTCAGGCGTTGCCTATAATTACCTAATTACATGAGTAGGATGTGCTGCGCCCCTGCCCCTCCTTATGTGGGTGCGCAGAGGGGTTGATGGATCCGAGGTAATGGTGCTGTGCAGCTACATCTGTCCTGATGAGGAAACCAGTGTTTTTATGGCTCGGAGTGGGAGGACGGGGAGTCGTAAGAGGCCAGGGGGTGGGAGGTGAAGCGTCTCTTGATGGATGCATGTAGTGAAGGAAAGGGGTGGTGAGGAGACCTAATGTTCAGAGGATATCCTGTAACTTAAAGGTCACAGGTTTGAATCCCAGCAGGGGTCTCTGTGTCCATAAATATTGACCTGAGCCTCTTAAAAGAGTTTTTTTTTTTTTTTTTTTTTTTTTTTTTAAACGTCTCCCCTAGGGAGCTATTAACACTCCTGTAGCAAACTTCTTTTAGCTTGGTTCTTAAAATGGCATTTTGCAAGTTTGGGAGTGCAAATGGATGCTGGTTAGAGCAAATCACATCATCTCTACCGTATATCATTTAAGAAGTGATGATAGAAGCTACAGCTTGGCTCAGACATTTTACTCGAAATGAAAACCTGTCAACCTCAAGGTGGTGTTGGAGGAAAAATCAGGGCATCACCAAAGTCACCAAGTCAGTAGAATTCATCCCCTCGTGACCAAGAGTGTGTGTAGAAAATTTCAAGTCAGTGCATATTTGAGTCTGGATTGAAATGCTGGACCGACAGACCAACGTTACCGTCCCTAGAGCTACCGGCTTCGAATATAAATTTGTAAACACCAGAAATATTTTATACTCTTTTCAGAAAAGAACTTAATGAACAGTCTGCAACTTTCCACTTTCTTCCCTTTATTGATTACAGATGCAGTGATTTCTGATCGTTGTTACCAGGTGGAGATTGTTCTTAAACTTAGATTTAGCTGCTGTTCAGTGGCGTGGCGGCTCCTTTAGGTTACCTCAGTGTGCACATCATCTGTGGTCTCTTAACAGAGCAGCAGGGGAAACGATAAAGTAAAACATGCTGCACCTCAGTGGCGTGGCGGCTCCTTTAGGTTACCTCAGTGTGCACATCATCTGTGGTCTCTTAACAGAGCAGCAGTGGAAACGATAAAGTAAAACATGAACACATTATTTTGGCTCCCACCTCGTGTTACAGAGCGTCTAAAGAAGTTTGGGAATAGACAGCCCTCAGTCATTAACCAAGCACATCGTGAGGGACTAGACGGCCCTCAGTCATTAACCAAGCACATCGTCATGTTACAGTGATTATTGGGAAACGCCTAAGCTTCAGGGTTTATCACATGATCTTATGTTGTATAACCATGATATCCAGATGGATAACTTGTAGATAATGTGGTTCTTCATTTAGAACACTCGGTCCCTGCTATGACAGTCATTTGATCAAGTTAAATATAAAAAAGCAAAGCTGAGACTTTCATGGTCTGTGTAAAACCTGCTGCCCTAAAACATCCTAGCTCAAGTCAAACCGCCATGTTAGCCTGAAAATGTCCCCGGTGATGCCACCGACCTCACATCGTCATGGGGCTACACCACAGGGATGAGGCCAGAAGAGTCACAGTGACCAAGCTGATTCACTGCTCTCTGAATCACAGGCTCTCGTGTTAATTGTAAATGTGTCCCCGTTTTTAAAATGGGGCTTTATAGAGTGATGTTACTTTGAGTCATCCTGTATCACAAGGCTCATTGTTTGTGACCATGAATGACAAACTCAGCAATAAGCTGAAACATGTCTGCAACTGTTGGCCAGTGGGGCTGGAGGCTGATCTCACTGGGGAGCTGTCTGATTAGAGGGGAGCCAGTTGTTCCCCTGAGAGTGTAGGTGTCGTCATCTTTTCTTTATTCTGCTTGTACTTTGTATGTTGGTTGTTCTTGACAGTGGTTGAGATTCATGATCAGACTTGTTTAGTTTAAAAGAAGCTGTCTCAGGTCAAAGGTTGGCAGCCCTACTGTACTGGTGTTTCCTGAAAAAGACCCATATGTTTTGGTTTTAGTAGTAGTAAGATCTGGAATGAAGGCGGGTCCACGGCTAATTTAAGACTTCTGCCTCAGTCAACTCAGTTTCCACATCTTCACATTCAAAGGTTCTTGATTCGTGCTTGCTGTGCCCTTTTCTACCTCCACCATTCCACCATTAAAATAAAGACAATAACACTGAGGTGGTCCTCCTCCATGCTGCTGTTGCACTTGAAGATGTTTGAAAACAACCTGTTTCGCTTTCAGTTCCTGTAATCAGACTAATTAGAGTAATTTTCAGTGTTACTGAGACGAAGTGAAAGGAAAGAAAACAAATGTCCAAAAAGAAACTTCAGTTTTTTAGTTTAACTTCCTGGACTGTTTGGTTTAAACCCACAATTTGTGTGCAAGTCGAGTATTTGACCTGCTATGTTTGTGTGTCTTTTGTGCACGTGATTACACAAATCAGTGTGACAGTGCTTGTGTGTTGGTTGTTGTATCTTCCTGTCCACCATAGGTGATTTCCTACCTCTGTTCTGTTGGAGGCTGGTTGCAGATGGAGGTTCTGAGGATTTATGCTGGTCCTGTTTTGGTTCAGGATTCGGCTAATTGTCGTGGATATGGGAGGGGCAGCAGAGGGGTATCATGACCCCCCAGGCTCAGTCTTTGAAGTATTAAGTGGACGGGGTACCATGTCATTAGGGCTGAGCCTTTCATCTGCATGCATGCATGTGTGTGTGTGTGGTTTTTGTAGACATTGTTAGTGGAGGACAGGGCACTGGAGGAAGGGAGAGAGGCTGTAATTTTGTATTCTCTCAGGAAAAGAGAACAAGAAAGGAAAACTAGGTAAAAGGAGCAGAGCTGTTTGGTTATGACTGTGTATTTACTGGAGGATCTGGAAAAATGAGATCTGATATCAAGAACTTTGACTAAGGTGTAGAACTAACACAGAGCATCATAGTAAGACGAGGTGGTGGTGGTGAAGACTTTTCAAATGTCTCCATCCAGATAACAGCTGTCAGTCAAAGGGGGAACGGGTGGGGGGGTTGTTTGCTTCTGGGTTAACATTACACAAAGCTCGAATTACTCCTTATACTTAAAATTGTATAAATTCATCAGGACCATGTTGGGTCACTGTTACCAAGACAGCCAGGTTAGCTTTAGATGCTAACACATCCAGAAGGGAGAAGGCCACATGTGGATCCAGTCTGAGTCCTCTGGCTGCTTTTAACCCTCTCCATGTCAAACAGCCAAACCCATGTTAACCCTGGTTGTTGATCTTTCTTTGTCCCACTCTCTCTGTGCTAAAGATGCCACCTCTTCACTCTGGCAGCCGCTGGTTCAGACTTTTAGCCTCCCAGAGCTCCTCCATGGCTGTTTGACATGACTACTGGCTGGAAAAACCCTTCCTCTAACCTTGGCTAGGCGGCAGGCGGGGCTGATTTACAGACCGTACTTTGACAACACAGGGTGGAGAAGCTGGAATAACAACAG